GGGGTATTGGGGGGCTGTATGGGGGTATTGGGGGCGGAGATATGGGGTGTTGGACGGGTTATTGGGGGTTATGGACCCCACAACAAAAAAATAAAAATAAAATTGCGGGGTGCCAACTGACCACTGTCCGGTAGATGCTGATGGGTAGAGCGGTCAGCTAGTCGGCAGCCGACTAATCCAGAGACGTTGACTGTCGGTGTGACTACTCTGTCGGAGTCTGTCCCCACTTGAATTTTAAAGATGCGCAGGGAGGGGTGTCCTGCCCTTCCCAATTTTTTGTTGTGCACCCTTATTTTAAGGGGTGCGTCGCATGACGTGGCCACGCATGCATGCACTTGCACTGTGCGCCAAATATGTGCACATGGCGCGCACATGATGCACCGCAAGTATGATTTTACAGATAACCCCCTGCTTATTATTATTATTATTATGTACTAAAATTAACTAAATAGAAGATCTTGTGATTTTACGCATAAACCCCTACTTATTATTATTATGTACTGAATAGAACACCTTTTCATCAGTTCCCCCACAATTCTTTGTTCGCAAGTTTGCGACTTTGCGCCTTTCCTTCCTTCTTCTGAGGAGTTTTATATTCCACTTTGCTTGTGCGGTCTTGATTTGCAGTTTTTCCACACACAGAAGAGAGGTGCACATTTGCATTCAATTCAATTCTTAATATTTCTTATTTTTTGTCAGTTTTCAAATCCTTAAAACCTAGAAGCGTATGAAATTACTAAATTAGTAAATTACAATGTAATCACACAAACAATCTTTTGCGAGACGAATAGTTCACCCACTATAGCCACACACTGAGTGCGCCTCCTGCCATAGCGCAAGGCCAAAAATGAGCCCAGCATGACAGCACTGTTATCCTTTACAGGCTTTCCAAGCGGAAAGCCAGGTCCCTATACCAAGAAATGCACACAGAAAACTTTGAAGTTGATTGAACGGTCCGCTGATTAGACGCTAGCCACATCCACTTTCCCACATCAAGACTTCAGTTGCCAGTTTGCATCTGTTTTGTTTTGTTTTTTCAACTTGTGTGTGTGTGTGTGTGTGTGTTATCGTGTTCGCTAAACACAACTTCAGAAGAAGAAAAAAAACATGACACTGCCAGTCTGTTTCGCCAGACTTTCAATGACTCATCGGGAGATTGAACCCGACAGTCTGCCCAGGATTCATTTGACTGATGGATAAGGACTCACCACATCGCCCAGAGTTAGCGATACCCCTGAGAGAGAAAAGTGGTCGACTTTACTCACACCAACCACACAATCCTAGCAGACTGTGTTTACAAAGTAAACACACCAAAGTACAGACCCTACTGACCTTTTCACATGTGGAATTTTTGTGGCGAGTTGAACCAAAGGCAGCCACTTTTGTGCGTCTCGGTCCAGATTGGCCTTGTGAGATCTCCGGCCATCGGTTAAAGAACTCTGCATCCTTGGGATTGGAGCCAGGCCATCCCCCCTCAATATAAGCCACACCTAGTCTCCCAGCAGCGCACCCACCCAACGAAAAACAACAGCGGAGTTTCACAATCACAACATCCATACAGCATCAACAGAAAATGGTTCAATAGAAAAACAAAAAAAACAACCACAACATAATAGTAGTATAAGCCACCATATGAAAGCAAAACAGCTTTTCGAATCCTTTTTCATATCCATCTCCATCCTTCAAATGCATATAAATCAACAACAACAACAACAACAACAAACTCATTTCATCATGCACGGCTTCTGACGTTTGAATTTGGAACCCAGACTGCACACTCAAAAAAGCTGTTTCTTGCTCGAATCACGCTGGCTGTTCTCTTCTTCAACTCCCAGTGCAGCCACCAGGATTCTAGTCTCTACACTCTAGACTGACAACTGTGACAATTTCTATTTTGAACTTTCATGCATCAGTGACCGTCCATTCGGGGCAACTGGCTTCAGGTTCACTCTTAAGAACTGCAATGACACAGAGAAAGAAACCAGTTCACTTTCAAAAAAAAAAAAAATTGTTTGAGTTTCCTCCGTGTGGCGGCGTGCGATTACCATCATCTGCCGCCTTTCGTCACCTGCAACCTTCATCGCAGCGAACATCGGCACTGTTGGCATCTTCCCCTTTCTGCTCCTTCTTTTCCTCCTATTCCTCCTCGTCCCTCTTCCTCCTCGTCCTCCTCCTCCTCCTCCTGCTCTTTCCCCTCCTCCTGCTCCTTCTCCCCCTTGCCCTTGTGGCTATGTAATAAGCCTTGCACTGTCAACCACAGATTGACTCAAACATGCCCACAGAGTAACAGCCAGCCTCATAGAATCACATCATGGCCCTCGTGTAGAAGTGTGACTATCTAAACCACCAGTATACCTGAGCCTGACGGACTCACATTGTGCGCCAAGCTTTGCCAAACCCCCAGATGTGCAAGTTTTTTATTTTTTGGCTTGCGCCGCCAGCCATCCTGGCCCGGTAGCCCCGAGCCTCCAAAATTTAGGAGTGACCATGAAACTTTCTGAAATTGCCTGGAGCCGTGTACTGGTGCTGGCGGTTCACAGCTATGAGGGGTACAATGCTATTTGGGTTCCTTAGGGGTGCAAATAATTTGGACTTGTACAGGGTGCACACTGTGCACTATTTGAGTTCCGAGGGCTGTCCACTACTCAACAGCGAAGATCTATAAGGGGGTGTTAGCTTTGAGGCTCCAATCCAAGGAGGTTGTGTGACCATTTAGGCCACCTACATTGTGGTGTGTGTATGCAACAGGTAGCCCTGGTAGGTAGAGAACAAAAAGGCCAGGGAAGGAGTCAGCAGGTACAACGAATATTTCTCAAGCTGCAACTATCTTCATCCATAGGTGTGGTGTACTTTATAACACCATGGTGATCATTAAGTGGGATGTAGACAGTATGTCGGAGTCCAATAAGACCATATAGTGACTGCGGGGCATCCAGCTGAATGGTAAAATGTCACCCTTCAGGTACGCCCTTTCACTAACTGTTTGGAGTAGGATGACAATCCATTGCAGATGGAAAGAAGTTCTTTTTAGAAAAAGGAAAGGAAAGAAGGCACATGGACGGTCCTTACCGAGTTCGATGAGAGCACGCGCAATTTTGAGTTTGTCTCCGACGCTAAAGGAGATTCCAACCATCTGCAAACAATACGGGGGAGTTCAGCTGCTGTTAGCTTACTAGTAAACCTCTGTAGTTGTTTGCTGGGTTCACCCCATGATTAACATGTATTACAATGATACTGTCAAAGGGCTGGCCCTGTTTTTGAACAATAAAAGATAAACAGGGAGGAAGAGTCAGGGGAAGGGAGGGCAGGGAGACAATGGTGAGGGAGGCGAGGGAGAAAATGATAAGGGAGGCAAGGGAGACAACGGGAGGGGAGGGAGACAATGGTAAGGGAGCGGAGGCAGGAGGGAGGAGAGGGAGGAGAGAAGCAAGGGTGAAAGGGAGGGAAAGGAGGGA